CTGATTTTTATAAAATATCTGTCACTGCTCATCAACTGACCTTCCCCTTAGTATATTTTCCCAGCTCGCATTAGATAACTCTTTCTTCCTATCTCTATAATTGTCCTTATTTAAGTTAATGACCCTGGTTTGAGTTGCTTTTGCTTAAACAGATTTTGAAATTCTCCCAGATTATGATTGCTACACCTTAGAAAATCCTTAACAATGAGGTCACTTTATCATCCCTGCCTCATTACACAACTTTAGATCTTTAATAGCCTGCTCCTCAGCAGGTTCTGTGATGTATTGCTGTCAGAAACAGTCCCTGATGCAGTCTATGTACCTTCCATCTTACCTTTGCCCTTCTGATTGGCCCAGTTAGTGTGCAGATTCAAATTATGCATGACCATTGACTTTTCTCACACACATCTGTTAGATCCTGATTTATGATTTGTCCTACAGTGGGACAACTGTTGGGGGTGAGAGATGACTCTTATTGTCATTTATTGTACCGCTATCTCTACTCATCAACACTGATGCCATCCTTTATCAACAAAGCTCCTATGTCTGCTTTTCCTTGTTACCTATTGTCCCAGAACATCAAAAACCCTTGAATATTGAGTCGTCAGTCTTGGTCACCTTGTAATCATGTTTCTGCGATGGATATCAAATGATATTCATTTATTTCTGTTGGTCCCATCAGCTCATCCATCTTGTTATAAATGCAGCGTACATTCAGATAATGAGTGTGAAGCTTTGACATTGTGACACACTAATGTTCCCCCCCATGTGTCTCACCAGTGTTACCCACTTGTGTCTCACTACTGTGTCTCACCATTGTGTCTCACCATTGTGTGTCACCACTGTGTCTCACCACTGTGTCTCACCACTGTGTCTCACCACTGTGTCTCACCATTGTGTGTCACCAATGTGTGTCACCATTGTGTCTTACCACTGTGTCTCACCACTGTGTCTCACCACTGTGTCTCACCATTGTGTCTCACCACTGTGTCTCACCACTGTGTCTCACCAATGTGTCTCACCATTGTGTCTTACCACTGTGTCTCACCATTGTGTCTCACCACTGTGTCTCACCATTGTGTCTCACCACTGTGACTCTCTCTGGGTCTGATTTCTTCTGCACTCCTCTGTGTAAATTTTCTACCCTTATGTTACACTTGATGGGAGTTTGTCCCTTCGCTATTCTGCTTCTCTGTTCTCTTGTTTAGCGTTGAACATGAGTGAGTCACCATAGTCTTACTAGACTATAGGGCTGCTCTCTCGTTGGAGAGAGATGACTAGTAGTGATCTAACCTGGGGGTCACCATACCCGCAGGCAAGGGGAGAGGTTGAAAAGGAGAGTCCTTCATATTAACCTCAGCCGGTGATGGGAATTGAACCCATACTGTTGGCATCATCCTGCTTTACAAACCAACTGCTCACATAGAGAATGGAACAGTACAGCACATGCACAGCCCCCTTGGCCCACCATGTCTGCCCCTACACACGATGTCATTCTAAACAAATCCTGTGTTTCTTTCTGATTTATATTTAAAATTTCCTTCAGTTGAGCTTTTCTCCCAGTCATTAGTTTAAAGCCCGACCTGCAGCCCTAGTTATACAATTTGCCAGGATAATGAATTCAGATGAATAGGGGAGGTGATGATAGCCAAGTGATTTTATTGCTGGACTGTTAATATTCTGACTGAATAATGTTCCAGGGAAACAAGAACAGAAATGCTGGTGAGCTCAGCAGGTCTGGCAGCATCTCTTCATCAGACAAAGAGTTCTGAGAGGGGTCACTGGACCCGAAATGTTAACCCTGCTCTTTCTCCACAGATGCTGCAAGATCTGCTGAATTTCTCCAGCAATTTCTGTTTTTGTTCCCAGTACAATGCAGTTGACTCTTAACTGCCTGCTGGAGCATTCGAGAAGGGCAATAAAGGTTAGCCTTGCCTGTGGTACCTTGGTCCTATCAATGAATTTGATAAAAAAATAAAAAACAGAAACAAAATCAAAGTTGCTGGAAAAGCTCAGCAGGTCTGGCAGCATCTGTGAAGAAACAATCAGAGTTAACGTTTCAGGTCCAGTTCTGCAGAACAGCCACTGGACAGGAAACATTAACTCTGATGTTTTCTTGACAGATGCTGCCAGACCTGCTGAGCTTTTCCAGCAACTTTGTTTTTGTTCCTGCTTCACAGTGATACTGACGCACTGCACACTCCTCCCAGCCTGTTACACAG